GTCTCCAGCTCAGCAGCCCCAGGGCTCTCAGCCTGTCCTGGCACAGAGATGCTCCAGCTCCTCCTACAAGTGCTGTGTGAGGAAGCCTGGTGGGATGGATGGGGAGAACAGAGCAGTATCCCACCTGGGGCCTCCCTGGGAAGCAGAAGAGCCCAAGACCTTGAAAAAACAAACCATGAAGTAACAATTTATCAGGAGGGAGCTGGGAGGAGCTAAGAGCTGGGAGGAGGTGGGGATTTTTTTCCAGCAGGCAAGGAATATGGGTGAGAAAGCAGCTGAGGGTGCTGCAGAAAGCCCCAGTTGCTACTCCCTCTGCTGAGCTGTCCAAGCTAGGCCTGGAGAAAGATCACCTTTAACTCTTTGCTGTCCCCTTGCTGATCCTAGAGCAGTTGTGTGGATTGTGTGAGACGTGTTGCTTGGTGCTGTACGATCCACAGTGGGATCTGTGGGGGCTGGCTCGAAGTGGAGGGCAACTAAAGCTGCAGAGTAACCCCTCAGACTTACACCAGTGAGGTCTGAGATCTACGTGTGTTGCAGTGGGCTCTAAAATATGAGGCCAGCTGGTTTGGAATGCTTTGGATAGTTTCTGTCTGTCAGGTGAAGAGCTTTCAGAGCTACAGAGTATGTCTAGACTCAAAGATGCACTTACTGGAAGCCCACTAGTGGATGGCATCTGAAATGATGGACTTGGAACACGTTCAGTGTTTGCTTTTGAATGCCTTTTACTCAAAGTAGCATCAAATCCCTACAAGGGGTTAGTTACCACAGTCTAGGTTGACTTTTGGCCTGGAGCTATTGAGAAATGGCTGTTTTAGGATGGGAAGCAAATATTTTGCAAAGCCAGCCACTCTCCTGTGAGGGACTCAATGAGAAGTCACAGGACACGTGCTGTAAAATGCTTGAAATTTATTAATCATCATTACTTTTTTTTTTTATAAGGAACAAAAATAAAACAACATTTCAAAACAAAATAGCAGAAGAAAATTTACCACACCCAGATAATACGACTAAGACTAAGAAATGGGTACCATTAATTCTGAAAGGCATGACCCAATAAATCAATTTTCCAAAATAACAAAATAAATAGCAATGGTTCAACTTTTAAAAGCCTCCTAGGAAAGAAGTTACATATATTATTATTATTATTTTTATTATTATTATTAACTTTTGTTTACAAAAATCCTTCATATGCCCCTGTTGGCAAAAAATATATATATATACTTCTTCTGTAAACAGTTAACCACAAACAAAAAAATATCCATATTTTCTTACAGTTACTATGTTGATGGTGTTATGTAAACAAAGAGGAGTGTGCAGCAGTTTCTCATGAGAGGATTTCTTTCTTTCTTTATCTCATGAGAAGATAGAGGGAAATATGCCCATCATAAATTGTTGAAAATAGTGAAGTTTCTATTTTTTGAGGAATTATGGCTTTCTGCAGGCTACGATTTCCTTAATGCAAGAAGAAGAACTAGAGAACCAGAGAGGTACAGTTTTCCTTGAGGCTGGTTTGTTTGTTTTCTGGACTTGAGCTATTGGTTTGCCCCAATGAATGGGGATCAAAATGTTATAAAAGGTCAATATTGGATATTGTCAAGTCTGGATGATGTCAGCACAGGCAAGCTTCAAGCCAGAAAAGAGTGTTCTCCTCATGACAGACTTTGTGCAAGTGTAAATTCAGCTCTCAGTGTCATGGTCCAACACTTCTCAGGAGACAAACAAACAGAAGATGTCAAAACGACCTCACCCTGTACCTCTCACGGTGCAGAAGGAAAGACACAAAGAACAACAGGAGATCTATTGGTCGTGAGAACTGAAATGATGCAGGCAGACAGAATGAGTTTGTATGCAGAAAATATCATCTGTTCAAGATTTTAGCTGCTTTTGACACTTTAGTGTGTTTTTTTTTTTTTAAGTTTTATCTTCAACCCTTGTTTGACGACTTCTCTCTAGTTCTGCTTTTAGCCTTTCACTTGTTCCTGAGAGATGGGTGGCTGCTTTATTCCCTGCTGGGTGCTGTCTTGGGGGATGCAGTCAGCAGTCACACAGTTGCAGCTCTCCACGTAGGTGTAGGAGTAGTTGATGGAGGTGCCATCGTTGCACCTCAGAGTCACCTTCCTCTGGCTGGTCTTGGTTTCCTGACAGCAGGAGCACTTGTGTTCCATTGTGTTCGCCTCTAGGGAGTACCTGATGGCAAAACCAACAGAGGAGGACTCAGAAATGGCCAGAAACACCCTTCCACTCATTGCTAGATATAACCAGAAGTTGTGGGCTTGCATCTGGGATGATGGCTCAATATTACCATTCTTGGAGCATTGTGGTGAAGTGCAGGTAAGTTATTCGTCATTGCAAAACCAGATGGGTTTAGCTCTTCATTAAGGCACAGAAAAAGTGCGTTAATTAACCCAGATGACATATTAAGCCAGTCCAAAAGTGAGAAATGACCTCAGCTTTCCATAGGCAAAATCAAAACCTGGGTCTAGTCTCTATGACACTGACCAGGCTGTTCAAACATCATTACCTTGAGGTCATTAAGGTAGTACAACATCATATCCATTAAAAATTCTCGTTAGCACAATGAAAACAGTCGATGAGTGGGCAGATGTTGGACGTATTAGAAAACCACTTGGGATTTGCTTTGTGTAACTCAGGCAAAGGGTGAGGAGAGCAGAGAGCACCGTGCTGTCTGGTGGCACTCACCGGGAGTAGGCGTCACAGCTGCCTTCACAGTACGTCAGCTCCACGGGTGCAGGAGACACACACCCACCACGCCTGATGACACTGGTAGTGTTGTGCTTCCTACAAGCTGAGGCTGTCACAAAGCAAGGGGAAATAGGTTAAAAGGCACGTGCAGGTAAATAATAGATATCTGTGTATGATACATGTAATCGTACACAGATATCACAGGAGAAATGGCAGGAGAAAACTGAGAGGGGTGGAGCTGAAATAGGGAATTGGGTCACAGTGCACTTCTCTTTTAATTGCTAAGGGCCAAATGATGACTCTTGCTGCTTGTGTTATCAAGGAATGAAAAATCTCCTTTTGCGTATGCAGCTTTGGTGTGGGATGCAGAAATAAAGAGCAGTGCTGTGGTAACTTCCCAGCACACACCCACCTCCCAGGGCTGCCTTGGCTTCCTTCCTCAAAGAGAAAGCAGCTGTGGGAGCTGGAGAATAGTCACGGTCCTCTCCCTCCCACAAAACAGCTAACATTTAAGAGTAGGGGAGGGGAATGTCCACTATATTTACATTTTCCAAGGCCTTAAAGAGCAGGCTGAAAATGTTCTGTTCCTGTCCTTTTCCCAGCTGCTTCCTTTCTCCCCCCAACGTGAAGCACTGGTCCCAAATTTGATCTGTGCATCTCTTCTGTCTATGCATCCACCATGCAAGTTGGACTAATGAGGCTCATGTTATCAGTACTTACTCTGTGGTTTTGGTCGACACTCTTGACAGCAGCCATCGTCAGAGAGCCTCATGTCATCCTTGAGTGGGGAAACAGAAGAAGATCACTCAGATTTCATAACTGCATACTGAATTTAGCAGAGCTTGGCACTGCTTCCGAAGTTTCTCTGGCACCAGAAAGTTTTTTGTAATGATATGGAGTCTAACTTCAGTCAAGGTTAAATATAAAGGGCACATAACTACATCAGTATTAGTAAGACTTCTTTGAAAGCTGACCTTGAGGGGGGCTGGAGCTGCTTTGCTGTCCTCAGAGTTCAGTAGCAACATTTCAGAACTGAAGCTTGTAGCACTTGTGTGTATTTTGAGTGACTCAAGTCAGGACCAGTGAGGGGTTATGCCAGACAGGGTAAAACAATGAAATAACTGACTCCCCAGATGTGTGGGGCTGGTTCTAACCTAACCTGACCCTTGTATTCAGTTGAAAGCTGTTGTGAACTGAAGCAGCTTATTTCCCTTCACCTTTGCTCTCAATAAGTGAATTCTAAACAAGAATTTGCAATCTTCAGTACTTTAGGAATAACAATCCTATTATTTTTCAAGATTATTGCTTCTAAGTCACCTGACACTTTTAGGAATCCAAAACATTATGCAGTACTCTTTTCTCCAGTGCCCAGTCCTCACTGAGGATTGATTTATCACCTGTTTTAATTGTCATTTGCCTCTCTGAAATGAAATTTGTTGGGCACCAGATTCAGAAAGGATAAAAAGGGAGCTACATCCTGTGTAATCCTTCTACTAGGTATTTTCCTTGGACATCATAATCCCTCTATCACTGGTGTTAGCCACTGCAACCTTGTCAAACACGAGGACTGCTAGAAGATGACTTACAGGCTCACAGTCCAAGGCAGGACATCTTTTCTGTAAGACAACTTTAATGTACTGGTCACCATATTTTTCACACGTGTAAGTTGTGCAGTTATCACCAGGTGGCTTCCAGAATTCTCCAACCTGAAAGCAGTTAAAATTCAAGTGAATAAAAATGCTCTTACATACAAATGAAGCAAAAAAAACCCAACCCCACAGTGGCAGTTCATTGCTGCCTACTGCAGTTGGGTTGTTCTGAACAATTTCCTTGAATTTCAGCTGGTAGTTAGTTGTCATATTCTCATACTGCTGTAAGTCTTTTTATTAATGAAGAGGCTGTATTTTTATCTGGATAGGGACACGATTTTTATGCAAATAGGATAAGTATGTGGAGTCATTTGGAAAGGTTAATTTGTGTTTCAGTGGTTTTGTCCTCAGAATTTATGGGTATGTCCCTCTAGATACATGGCAGAATTTCTGCTGGGTTCATCTTGTCCTGAAGCTCTCAGCTCACTTGAGACAAGGTGCTTGGACCAGAAAACTCCTTTTGCAGGTAAAACTATCTTTTCAGCAAAAAGGGTGGTGCTGAAGGCAAATAAGGGGCTGTTGATTTCTGAAAGCCACTGTTCAGTGTCACAGTTGCTTCCAGAAGTTGGAACTGGAGTTTTGTGGCTCAAGGCACTGCTCATGTGTGAGACAACCCCTTCCTTGCCTCAATGAGCATTTGTTTAACGTGAGAAAAGACACAAAACATGTCAAAGGAGAGGAAAGAGTGCCCATACCAGCAGAGTTCACCCCAAAAAAACAAAGAGCTAAAGCAGGGATAGTTACATGGAGCACGTGTGTGATGTTGCCTCCCACAGTCACGATACAAGCCACTGCCTTGCAGGTGCCACAGCACTGCCCGGGCTCCTTGGTGTACTTGTAACCCTGTTTTGAAAGAAATGGAGAAGAAATGGAGAAGATAAGGTCAGGACATTGACCTTCTCTGGTGGATGTTTGAGCTGGGTGGGGCAGGGATGACTGACAGCAAAATGACACTCACCTCCGGGCAGTATGTGTCACAGATAACAGGCTGGCACTTGACAGTGGGATGGTGAGAGGATTCAGAGCAGGTACATTCTTCACATGGGCCTGATGGGACAAGAGCTCCAGGCTGGGGGAAGTCAGAAAAAAAACCCATTAATAGTCAGTAAAACCAAGTTACTTTGTGTGTGTGCATCACAGATGGTACAAAGCTGAGCTCTGTATCTCTCTTAAACTCTCCTTAAATACAATTACCTCTCTTAAACTCTCCTTAAATACCATTTTGATTGTTTTATTTAAGCAAGAGGTTCTGTTGTTGGTAATGTCCATTTTAGAATTAAATTCTGCTAATGCATAAAGGAGAGAAGAGGATGGTTTTGCTTGTAGGGAGGGTGTTGATACGTTGAGGTCAATTTAAGAATATTATTTTATCTTAGACCTTTCTGTAAAATATGTTCCTTGATAGGAGTCTCAAATCATTGTGAATCTGTGCAAAGCTGTATGTTTATAGTGAGTTACTCTGGGTACTTACTGCATAGTAGGTTTCATTGACCACACAGCCTGGTCCTGTGAAAAAAAGAAGAAAGATGGTGTAAGTTTTAAGACATCATGTGAATCCTTCTCTTTCAAGGTTTTTGTATGCATGAGCTTAGAAAAAAAGGAGCTATGAATAGCAGGGGAAGAAGGTGCAGAGTACTTACTGCATTCAAAGGTAGGACAGCATCTGCCAGGCTGCATTATTGTCACTATTTCTTGTCCCTCTAAGCACTGGATGGTGATCCCAGGGCAGAGACTAGTGTTGCAGTCTGTTTAATGGAAGAGAACATAAAAAATCCTTAACTAAGAACTGAGAAACAAAAGTAGTTGTGTTTCACACCAACTTAAGTTTCCCCCATTTCCAGACAAGGTAGTTTAGTGACTAATTCAGTGTATTTGCCAAGATATTTTTAAAGCAAATGGGCTTTTCTATACCCTTTGTAAAACAAAGGAGGGTAGAGTGGTGATTTCTGAGAAGAGGCACTTCCAAAGAGAAATTTGTGCCCATTGAGAAATCTGATGACTCTCAGAAGTTCAGGAACTTGAGCAATTTTTGACTGTTCAAGACTTGTTTATTTAAGACTCTTTTTTTTTTTTTTCTTGGTCTTTGAAACAGAAAATTCTTTGAATAGTTTTTAAATAGTTTTTGTTTCAGGTGATGTCATTAATAAATGTTTTCAATTTTAAATGATAGGAAATTTCTAGTTACTTTTCCTGTGTCTAGCCATGTAAATTTTTTTTTCATCTTTAAAATTGTTCTTTTCAGGCATCTAGGAAATGCCTTTAGAGCCCTAATGGCTTAATGGTTGGACTTGATCTTAAAAGTCTCTTCCCACCTAAAGGATTCTATGATTCTAAGTGGCGTGAGGGACAAAAGCCTCTTGAAACTAATAACAAGGTATTAAAAAAAGACAAATTATTGCTGTAGCTCCCCAAAATGAAATATATTATCTTCTCTGTGATAAAGAATGGAGATGGTACTCACAGCACTCGGTCCTGGTGCAGCATGGATCTTCTGGGAGCTGTACCTGAACAGGCATGTAACCTGGTTCATCACAGATGACTTGCTGGGTCAGAGGACATCTGTGTTTTGTACAGTGTACTTGAAGAGTATATTTGTCACAGATACATTCCTGGCAATCTTCTGTCCATTTTTCTCCTGGCTAGATTAAAAAAAGAAAAATTTAAACAAGTTTAAAAACTTTATATATCAATTCAAACGAAAATCATTCTGTGTGTTCCTAGCTGGCTTATTCATACCCAGTTACCCGATTCCATCAACCTTGTCATATTTCTGGTGTTTTAGGTCTGATAAGAAACCCTCAAGCTGAAGCTAATGAGGGGAAGATACTGGAGGCCATGGAAAGATCTGAGTCTGAAGGAGAAGTGGTTGTGCTTTGCCTGTATTTTTCAGTGAGAAATTATCAAATGACTTGTTCATTTGCATGTAATTTTACAGGGAGGAATTTCCACCATCTGTCTGCAGCTGAGGAGCTATCAGTTTAGCAGCAACAGGAAAATTTTGTTATCCACCTGTCCCTTCATCTCTAGTAACTTTAATGAGTTAAATTCATGGAAATATAAATATATATGCCAAAGTTCCACTAATAAAATCTACCTCGTTCTTTCTCTTATTTTTTTTCTTTTACTTTTTTCTTTTTTTTTCAGTATGTGAGGTGATTGTTGTGGAAATAATATCCCATAACTTCTTAGGAAGTTATGTTGTTGCTGCTCTGATACTCATAATTATTTTTAAGACTAAAAGGGAATGAATGTTACAAAGAAATGCTGATGTCTCCCCCAAACCTAAGCAAAACTTTGTCTTTTTTCACTCCTCTGTGCCTGATAAATGACTTTGATTGTGGTACTCACCAATCTAGTGACTCCACTTGGTTCCCTACAGACTGGAAAGAAAAAAGAAAAAAAAACACAAATGGAGATTTACATCACTGAAAATTGACATAAAAGAGTAAATTTGTGCAGTTTCAAACACAAATAGTGTGAAGATAAAGCTAACAAGGAAATGAAGAGGCAGAATAGTTCTTCTGAACTGTAACATTCTACCATCGTGGCTGATTTCATGTAAGGTAAGAAGAGGGGAAAAAAATGTAGTACTGAATATTGTTTGATTTTTAGGTGTAAAGGAGGTTAAAGAGGCTGATTTGCCCACGATCTGACCACAGAGAAGATGGCAGTAGAACTTCCTATCCTCCTACCAATCTTCATATCTATTTATTCTCAAAATTGGCTCCAGGTTACTTACAGCATTCAGAGACACAGATGAAGTTGTCTTTACTCATGAGTGTCTTTCCTTCCGGACAGAAGCATCCTTCAGTTACTCCATAGCCGGGGAGCTGGATGAGGCTGGAGTGGGAGGAATGTAGGGATTTGAGTACAAAGTTTTTGCAGTGAAGGAGGAAAGCAAGCAGCACAGGGAGAAAGTCATGATGTCAGATCCAAGGGAAACAAAAGAGTTTACATTTTCTGGATCACAGAATCACTCTGGTTGGGAAGGACCTCTGGGATCATTAAGTCCAACCTTCATCCCAACATCTCCCTAACCACTCGACCATAGCTGCTGAAGTGCAGCAGGACTGACTGGTATTTCTAAATCTTGTCTTGTGGATTTGGGTAACTTATTCATTTCATTATGAAGTAACTCCATTTTTGAAGGAAAGCAGGTACATAACGATAGGAAAGGAGGAGACAAATATAAGCAGTTGTTACGAGGCTTGGTTTTCCTTTTTGTCTTCCCATACCTTTGGTCACAGGTAGGAGGATTAATGGGGCCACATGGCTTGTACACCGTGTTTGCTGGACAGTTGTATGCTGCATGGAAACAGAAGAAAGATCAGAAATTGTCAATAGATGTCCTTTTTTCAACAAAAATGACTAGTTTTGCTGCCTTCACCTGCAGCTTCTGTAAGGAGGACATTATTGGGTTTGTAGACAGGTGTTAGATGCAAGATGTGCCCACTGAATAAAACACTAATTACTACCATGTCTCTGCAGTACTTACGACATATGTTGTTGGTCTTTTTCCTCCAGTCAATGCAGACACCTCTGCTAGCACACTCTGTAGCATAGATCTCCAAACTGGAACACTGCATGGATTCCTCTCCTATGCGACATCCATCAAAGACACAGCCTTTGAAAAATGGTTCTGGTGGTATGATGGCATGGCAAGCTTCGAAAACCCTGCAGACAGAACAGACACCCCATCCTAAAAAAAAGCCAATAATCTGGCAGATAGCTTCAGGAAAGGGATGATGAGGAAGTTTGAAGCCCCTCCTTTTTTTTTTTTCCTGAGGAGTCTAATAGTTTTTTCTCTTTGTGGACACAACTTTTCATCAGTCTGACACCAGGAATTTAATGAAAAAGACAACTGCATCCAACTGAAGAAAAAGGGATGATAAAAGTAACTGAGAGATTGAAAAATTGCACATACAATATAGGTCATAACTTGGTAGACACTACAGCAAACGTGTAAGAGGGACATTATAAGTGACTCAGCTGAAAAAATAGCTTCTGTCTGAGCTCACAGAAGTATAGGAAATACCACAGGCAACCAGACTTTGTGCTTTTGGAGCATCCTGTTTTACATAAAATGTACAAAGAACAAAGGATGCTTTTTGCCTGAGATGTTTCTACCTGCTCTGTTAACCTGGTTGGTAACCACATTCTTTATGGTTTGTGCTGAAGGGCCACTTCAAACGTAGAGTTTAGTCTTTACTTAATAATGTAACTAAGAGTGAGTGAGCATACCAAGGGAGGGAGGAAGAGACAGAGAGAAAACAAATCTGTGAGGCTGCAACCCGGGAGGATGGATTCTAGTGGTTGTTGCATCCCTGGTCTTCTGACATCATCTCCTCCTCATCCTTGCTCGATTATCTTTGGCATGCAAGTCATTAAAGAAGAGCAGTGTCTTTTGCAAAACCCTTTGACTATATATACCCTGTTGTTAACCTGACAGCTTCACATGCTAGGGCTACGGTTCTTGCTCTTGTAAGATTTGGAGACAGTTTTGTCTAGAAAGAGTGAATTAATTCAGGTATTTTCCTTACTCGCTCCAGATAAGCTTGCAGAGAGGAGGTGTTTCACATGGAAGCTTGGGTGGAGGTGTGGTTACAACTGGTGGTACTGGTAATCCATGGCATGACTTGTCATCATCAACGATCCAGTGATGAGCCATTTGGGGACATGAAGAAATGATCTTGCCATTCGGTAAGCGGCACTCATCTAACTTGTTGTTTGTGCATGTTCCTGGAAGAGAGAACTGTGTGAGTCTTGAATGGCACATCAGAGATGTACTCTACATTCTCCTGCTGTGCAGGTGAAATGTATAAGTGCCTGGCTTCATAGGGACTGTTTTCTTTATGGTTATATGAACTTTAGTTTAGGTTAGGGAAAAGCAAATGAAACTAAAAACCCAGCCCCAAGATAAGAAAAAATAGTTGCTGAAATATTGAGTTTTTGATCCTACATAAGTTGAAGAGCACAATTGTTTTCATTTCCATTTTACTGCTGTTTTGAAGTTTCTGACAGTCATGAGACCCTATAACCATGGTGGGTGAGAATAACCATGGTAGGGTGGGGAAAGAGTCCCACCTCCAATTAATGCCTCTGTCTTACCACACTGTCCTTCGGTGTTGTTGCCAAATTTGCTGAATGGGAGTTTCACAGAGAATATCATCCCACTAAAGGTGATGGTTGCACCAAGCTCTGGTATTTCAACGATCATATTGATGCCAAGTGTGGAGAAGGAAAAGCCATCTTTCTTAAAGCCTGGTTTGACCACCTTGTTGTTGAAGTACATCTGAATGCAGGGGTAAAAAAGAAAACAAACCCAACACAACTTCAGAATGAGCACTGCCCCTGCTTGGTTGTTTTAAACAATGTGTTTAATAATCTTTGTAATCGTGCAGAACTCCTTATTGTTGTGCTTCACATCCAGCGCCCACTGGCATCACAATAACAGCCCACGTGGGCATTATCTCAGCTTGTATTGCACTGGTGTGATAATCTGAGTGGCCTCTGTGTGCTGTGTTTCTGCAGACGTTGTGCTGATGCACGACATTCTATATCTGAGAGTTTTCTTTCTATGCCTCATCATTTTGCTTATTGTAAATATTTTTCCATAGGAAAATGGGTGGTAGTTTAACTACAGAAGTATCAATGCTGTTATTATGCAATAACTTTGCTGCAAAATCACACTGCCCCCATACTACGTGTTGCTTGAGCATTGGAAGAGTTGTCTGAACCCCAAATCAAGTCAAAGTTCCAAGGTGCCAGGTTTATTTGGCAGTCATATTTATTTATCTACATTGTTCCTTTTGTAGCCTGTATCTTATATGAGCTAGTGAACACAGACAGATTTTTACTAATTTTTTGTGAGGAATTATTATGCAACTTTCTTCTCATTGAATCAAGATAAAGAGTTCAAACAGTCAATTACTCTTCCCTTTTACAGGGAATCCCTGGACTAATTTTTAAGTCGTGCCTTTCTGAGGGTGGATAAGGAGAACTTGGCACAGCTCTGTAAGGGTAGAGGGCATCTTGAAGACAAACTTTTCTGTGTTCCCTAATCACATAATAAACTCCTCAGCGTAACAGTGGGACTGACATTTTCACTGGCTCACCAGCACTCGTGGAGGACCATGAGGGTCACCTCTTTTCTTCAGCTCTACCTCTCCTCCCAGCAGAGGACTGGAGAGGGAATCATGTCATGGCTCTGGGTGTGTGCAGAGGGAGAAAATAATAGAGAAATAAAAAACAACTATTTTACCACATTAGTCATCACGCCATTCACGAGTTCACGGGTCAGCACCACTTTTGCTGATTTGTAGAAGATGATAATGGATTTAGGGCAGGAAAGTCCATCTTTTGCATCGCAGTAATAATTGTCAATGTAAACACGGAAGTTGTCGTATTTCGGTACAATCTGTTTCACCAGGACATAGGTGCAGTTTTCAAGGAAGGTATAGTAGATGCCATCAAACGTAATATAATGAGGATCACCCCATCCACTGCACACACCTGATAGAGAGGAAATATTTAGAAGATTAACAGTAGAAGAAAGATTAAGGTAGAAGACTTTAGAAACTGAAGTCAATATGCCACAATCCATAGAGCGACCTTGAGAAGACAGACTGACCGAATAATTTGTGAAAAGTTTTGATGCTTTAAAAATAATAATAATAAAAAAGTAATGGTTCAATCTTCTGGTGCTTACATTGACACTCATAGTGGTAGCAGCAGCCATTTTCATCAGGTACCAGTACTGCTGGGTATTTGTTCGCACAGGTAATCTCCTTTACAGGTGGACAGTGTATTGGGACTATTTCCACATTGTTGTCTCCCTTGCAGATGAGTTCTGTACAGTTGGATAATTTGTATCTTTCTCCAGGCTGCAAAATGAACAAAAAATGGCTGTTACACAGGTCTGTAAAGAGATAGGAACTATACTCAGGTTTTTAGTCTAAATGGGATATTGTTTGAGCAATCATGGTGCTGGGAAGGAAATGAATGTGTGCTGCTTGACTTCAATTTGTGGTGCAAGTGATTTGCAACGTTCACCAGAGGTATTAATAATTCTGACCGTGATGGAGAGGATCAGAAACTGTTTTGGTTTTTGTATCTGAAACAAAGACTAAAATGAAAATCTTCACTGGTAGCAGAAGGTTGTCAACATTCTACACAATAACAATTTTTTATGATAATACCAGGTGGGAATCAATTCCAGCTAGTTCTTCAGCATGAGGAGCACTTCTGATGTTATTGGGGGATAGGTCTTATGTGAAAGGAATGTTGTACTAGCTACGTATATTGTACTTCACTATCAGCATGGATCATCATTATTAAAAAAAAAAAAAAGACAAAGTACAGGCATGCAAATAAGGTAGGAGGGTAGGAGGACAGAAACAGATGCAAATTCCACAGCAGCTTAAAAGTTTAGTAAAGAAACAAAACGCAAAAGGAGACTATTATTTCAATAGCAAGGTTTGTCGTTTGTCAAATGAAGGGCATCAGAAAGTGTTCTGCTAGCACTGAAGTCAATAGAAAAGACAAATACAGCTTCCTTTCTCTGTCCAAATTTTGTCATGTCTGCTGCCCAGCAGTAGCGATACTTACTCGAGCAATGATCACGTACAAGTTTTACAGACTATAAATTCTTCCTCTCTGATATCCACCTAACAATGACGTAATTTAAACAATCATAAGACAGAAATTACATACCTGTAGGGGAGGGTAAGTAGAAGAAACACAACCGGGGAAAATAGTTGTTCCAGAAGTGGTAAGCAAAGGAGCTGATGTTGTACCCGTAGACCATTCAGGGGAAGTAGTAGTGAGAGGAGTAGTAACATTACACTCCGAAGTATACCGTTCAATTTCACATCTTGAATTACAGATGGCATAAAATCTACATCCATCACTGTCCATTTTGTTGTAAATCAAATCACCTGAAGGAAAAAAAAAAAAAAGAAACTCGATTAAAGTACACAAAAAAAAAAAAAAAGAGAAACAAATGAAAAATCAAAAGACAAAAAGAAAAGGTTCAGGAATTGAACAACACAAGAGGAAAATTAAGATGCAAAAGTGAATACATTCAATACAGATTTAAGAAAACTGTGATGAAAAAAAAGAAAAATGTAAAACAGACAAAATAAAAAAAGATAAGAAATAACACACTAACCAGGAGAATAAATGGCATCACCAATTTTACAGAAACATGGTGTAGACACAGGAGTGGTACTAAAGCTGGGA